CGTAAATGTTGTCCAATGGTGAATAATGTGAAAATAATGTGTGATGTAATATTTATAAAACCAAATTCGTTACTTTTTGTACTCCAAAAATGTCCATAAGGCGATGTACTTTTTCTTCCATTTTGGCATTTGGCATAATTTCATCAAAATGAAGTTTTGCGCTCAAAAGGGCTTTTACATTCGAATTCGTTGCTATTATTTTTGGCATAATTATATTTTTATTTATAATTGACAAGTAATTTATCAATAATAAATATTATTGTCAATTTGACAGTGTCAAAGTATTTAATTATAATATTATAATTATTATATTATTATTATAATTTATAAATTCTTTAGCAGAAGTACCATTTTTAAATACTAAAAATACAAAGTCAAACTGGCATAAGCCACCAACCTAACAAAAAACACGTCCAGATACAAAAAATGAACTGTAGGTAGGTAGGTAGGTACCTATATTAACTATTTTGTTTTTATTTTATGTTGTAGCGTTGAGTTTAACGGTTATATTAGCAGTAGGCTTTGTTATCTATGGCAGTAGGCACAGAACATAAGAGAATTAAAAGCGCTGTAGTCAAAAGTGGCAACAAGCATTGGTTGATTTTTAAATCTAGCAGGCTTGGAAAACCGAGTTGTTTTTTTCGGCGGGAAATTTGAATGTTTGGCTATTTGAATTTTTATTTAAAACAAGGAAATATAACCGAAAATTGTTTAAATTTTATATTTTTTTGATTTTAAAAGGATTATATACGTAATATTGTCCATAAAAAATCAAAAAATATAAAATTTCGACAATTTTCGGTTATTTTCCACTAATTAAGTGGAAAAACACACCTTTTTGTTTTTTTAATAAATATATTTAACAAAATATACACTTAATTCAATTTTAAATTAAAGTATAACTAACAAATAATATTTAAATGAGGAGAAATTCAAAGTTAATTATTCTATAACTTTTAGTGAAATTTAAAAAAAGGTTTATCAAACATGTATAATAATTTATAATTATTTAGGTATAATTTATCAAAAAGTATGACATTAAATTGATAATTACCCTCTTATATATTTTGTGTCACATAATAACAATTTTTATAGGTTTTTTAAGATTTCTTAATAAAAATGCAAAGGTTTATAAACAAATTAACTCTAAAACATATTACAAACCATCAAAATATTTGATAAATTCTTGATAAACAATAGTTCAATACTTATTGGTCCTTATTAGAAAACAACCTTTTAAAACAGTTCGAGTATATTATATAATTAAAATTATTTTAACTTTGAATACGTAATTCATAAAAATAAATAATTTTGTAATACATACTGAGTTATTGTATAACTATATATAGGTATTTTCAGATTTCTTAATGTAGTATTAAATTTCTTTATTGGAATAAACCAAAAGGCTAATGCCTAAAATGTTTAATGCAATAATTAGACTTATTACAAACCATACTCTTATAATTTTTAGGAATTATGATTATAATTTGTTTTTAAAATAAGCACAATACTGTAGTTTTGTAAAATATAGAATTTTTGGCAAAAAGGAATTCCTACTTATGCAAAAATTAAATTACATTCTTTGGAATATTTAATTTTTAGTAAAATTGATTTAAATTAAATTAATTATCAATAGAACCACTTAAATTTCAATGTTAAAAATATTGTAATTATGTATTCGGCAAAATTAAAATCTTTATGTATGATTTAACTTTCTGGTCAATATTAAGTATTAATTGTCTTTTTTCTTGTTCATGTTTCATGGATTGAACCTGCGTCTTTTTCTTGATTCAATGAAGAATATTCAACTGCAATTAATATTTTCTATGTACTTTTGCAAAGAAGTTTGATAAATTCAAGTCCCGTCTGCTTCTTCCATTAACACAAACCTGAAATCAATACCAATTTTAAAATCAATTTAAATTGTAAAACAATTGATATTACCTAATAATTTTTAAAATTAAATAAAAATATTGTATCAATATTTATGCATAAAAATATTTTAATGGTTTATTGCAAAAACAAGCTAATTAGCTTAAGTAACTAACTAAATATGATTTTGTTTATTTTTTAATTTAAAAATCTTATAAAAACTAATAATGGTGAACTTGTGTGAAAATATTCTTTTTTAATATCCTAATGTGTATCTTGCTAAATAAAATATTTCTGCCTCAAAATAATAATTTAAAGCAGAAGTGTATGTAATATAAAAATGTCAGATTGCTAAATGTGTACTTTCTTTAATGGTCAGGCTTTTACTTTTTTTATATTTGGATTGTAACTATGGATGTGTAAATATTGAATTCAAGAATTATTTGAATAGTTTGAATGTTTCAAATTTTTAAATAGTTCAATTAGAAAATTAAAATTTTCAAATAGTAGGTAATTGAAGAAATGGAACATTGGAATTGTAATTTAAAATTTATTTTTAAATAAAAAGAATGTTATTTACTTGTCATTAACCCTTAATTAACTTATTTGAATAGATTATGATTGTAATTATTTAACTATTCAAATAATTCAAACTATTTATGTAGTTTAAATATTTAATTTTAAGTTTGAATTAAATATCACTACTTAATTTATTTGGTAAAAATATTCACACACCACCAATTGTAACTAAATATGTATTCTAAATAAAAAAAAATATACCTACCTATTATTAAAAAAATTTGGTCAGATATTTCTGTTTGGGATTGACGAGTAAAGCTTTCATTCTTTTTCTTCATGCAGGATAAATCTTGTCTAATTGTTCCATTATCGCAGAAGCTAAAATTAATTAAATTAAATTAAAATCAATTTATATTGTAGCAAAAAATAATTAAATTAAAAACTTTAAAAATAATTCTTTAAAAGGTTTGCTTATGAATTGTCTAGTTATTTATGTACATTAAAAATGTCAGACTTTCAGATAGAACAAATGAAGGGGTCAATGCAAGAATTCTTGCACCTAAGTGCATAAGTCACATTTTCAATTAAATTTACATTGTGGCTTCATCTAAGAGTGTTTCACATAAGGTTTCAGGTGGTATTTTTAAAGTGGCAGAAATATGTGCCCAAGTGCTTTAGTTTGCATTTACTTCAATGAGAGTTTGCCTGGTTTTCATGTGAAAACTCTTAGATGAAGCCAGAATAACAATTTAATTGAAAATGTGACTTACGACACTTCTTCCATTGACCCCTTCAAATAAAATAACTATAAAAATACTGTAAAAGATTATCACCCTGTAGTTTAAAATGCTATATTTATGTAAAAAAAACATGGAAAGCACAAAACATTTGTAATATAATCAAGTTTTGAACTGTATGCTTACAAGTGTTTAATATGACCTCTTCCAGCTGCAAACATCTTGTAGATACTCGGCAGTTCCAATTCGTGTATTCAGCTTTTACAAATCATGGGGCTCATAAACGTTATCTTTTATAAAGCCCCAGAGAAAGAAGTCGCACACTGTGAGATTGGTTGAATGTGTTGACCATACATGAAGTGCCAAATTGTTGGGCCCTTTACGTCCGATCCACCGATGAGGGGGCTGTTCGTTCAATAACCTCCGCTCCACCAAATGCCAATGTAGTGGGGCCCTGGACCCAGGTTCAGTTTTTGCATAGCTACATCAAATAATTTTAACAAAAACATACATTTTGACAAAGATTATAGGTATATTTAACATTTTGTATAACAGCAACTAGTGTCAAGAAAAAAAACGTTAAAAACTGTTTTGATTGAAAGTTTTGAATCAAAACTTTAAATTCTATCAAAACTTGCATTAGTTAAACAACCCATAAGCAAAGAGTAAGAGTCTTTACTCTTTGCCATAGGTTTCATTACATAAAAAGAATTTTATTTGTTTTATCGTAACTACATGTTTTCGGTAAACATAGAGAAAAAAACCGATACGGTTTATCACACGTATTTTCTTATTTTAAACGCGGTAATGATGCTACAACTAACTAAAACTTGACTAAAAACACCTAATAAAATGTTAAAGCCGAAATTAACAAGTTTACTTACCTAAAACAAAGAAAATTTGGATTATAAAACTTTGTACACACCACTTCAACAACGCTGTCGGCCATTTGTAATTTCTCAAACCGAACATCAACGAACAAGTTGGAAAAGACCAATCACAACAAAGTAAGAATCACGTGGTTAATAACTGGGGTTTGTCAAAAACAACTTGGGTTTCAACGCATGCTAGATTTATTTTACTGTTGCCTGTTGTCAAATTCCCCTTATACCCCCCTGGCAGTAGGTACTTTTATTGTTTTGTGGGTGGTTGTTATTGAATTTGTATGGCATCTTTACAAGAAAAATCCTGTTAAAAAGGAACCTAAAATTATCACCCACACATCCAATCCCAACAAAATGTAGGTCATCATTCTCTTACAAGAACTAAAGTGATAAGGCGTTAAACGACGATAAAAGCTAAATGAAAAGAGCTTAAATGCATTTAATAGTAAAACAGTAGCGGTTTGGGAAGATAACGCTTAAAATAGAACACATTGTAAAGTAAAAACACATGCTTCACTCCGGAATATCGATCCCCGTGCGTAAAATAATAGAATAACAGAGAGAGCGGCGTGGAATCGGTTACTTGGTTAGGTTTTCAAGATTATTTACAGCAAGAGAATTAGTAGAAAAAGTGTCCTTTTATGCAAAAAGTTTTAACAATAATTGTAGGTACATTAATTAGTTTATGTTTTGGTTTTGTAGAATTAGACAGAGATTCGACTTTAATTATCTTCGTTTTTAGAAGAAAAAATTGTAAGATTGGATCAAGGAATATCTAGGTAGGTACGCCTTTGATAAGGTTTGTTTTAAATTAAATGTAAATTATAAATAAGAACTGTCAAAATTCTAACCTAGAATAGGATTAATGACAGAGCTGCAAATGTGTTTTGACTTCGTTAGGGAGACTTTGTGTATAAAAGGACCCTCGTAGAAAGAGTATAGAGGTTGTAAGTAAGGTGTAATGCACAAGAATAACAAATAAACTAACCTGTAACACTAAGAAGCGACATCATGCGGCAAAAAACCGCGAAAGGACGTCAAGTGCAAGTAAGCACTGATTTATCCACTTAGTCACTGAAACACACACTTGGGCACTGATTTTGGTGGTTTTTTAGTTTTTCGGAGGCGGCACGAAGCAGCGAGAGGCGGTCCATAACGTCGTTGGCGGCACTTTTCATGTCACACCACATCACCTGTCTGTCGCTTTCGAGTAACTGGAGGCGCCGCGGCCGCCATCATGCGATAGCCGATAACGTTGTCCTTTGGCGGGTGCGCGCGCCGCCAAGTAAGGTTCTGCTTGTCACAGCGGCGGCGGCAGTAGCGGTGGCGGTATTCGCACAGTGGGCAATGCATAAATATAGGAGTATTAGGGTGCTTTTAAAAATAAAATTTTTACTCTCTCAAATGTTTCTATTTAATATAAAAAAATCCTCACCAAATATGGGCGTTCCAGCTCAACTCTAAGAGGCCCTGTTTTTATTTTAGTTTCCCATTTAATTAACATGGGAAAAAATAATGTTATGTTTGGAATTTTATACCTATATCAAAGTACCTAACTTATGGCAATGATCATTACAGTTTCTTATATAAAATGTAACGCTCTACAAAAAAGGTCTCTTATTATTTTTCGATAAATTGATTTCTTCTAGTCTAATAATACTTAATAATAACTCTATTCGAGGTATTCGAGGTCAAAGTTTGATTAATATCAAATTTTCTGATTTTTTTTTAATTTTATGGTTCAATTAGCAGACGGGAGGGGAAAGGGTGCAAAACAAGGCAGCGGGGGTACCCAAAAAATTTCGTAAAAAAAATTATTTTTAGATTGTTTTTTTCGGTTTCTGAATTATTTGAAAATATATTGACTCACAAGTTCACGCTTTTAATTGAAAATAATTATTCTGAGCCTGTAGAGCGAGAAAAAGGATGGTATAATTTTGGAAAACTTTTCATATGCTCATTTTTTGGGTACCCCATTTTGCCCCCCTCGCTGCCTTGTTTTGCCCCCTTTCACCTCCCGTCTGCCAATTGAACCATTAAATTAAAAAAAAAAACAGAAAATTTGATGTTAATCAAACTTTGACCTCGAATAACTCTACTAGAGTTACTCTAGAAGAAATCAATTTGTTAAAAAATATTAAGATAGCTTTTTTGTAGAGCGGATTTTTTTTATATTAAATAGAAACATTTGAGGGGGTAAGAGCGAAAAAAACAATATATATATATACAGGGTGAGTTTTAAGTTGACGCGTTCCTTTTAGCAGCGTGTAGAAATCAGATAAACAAATAAATATTTTAAGTAACTTTTTTATCAAAACTCAAAAATAAGAGAGTTTAATTAAATTTTGAGCCGGTCCTGGCTATTGTTAACAAAAAACATAACCATAAAAATAAAAAATAACAAAATAAACAATGCAAAATGTCATCTATGACAACAAACATAACCGTTTAAATCAAAATGACATTTAGCAATGAAAAATGTCAGTTTTTTTGTGCCTCAATTATTGTTAAAAATGGTTCATAATTATAGCAATAATGAATTAGTGGAAATGTTACTAATTTATGGAGAGTGTCGTCAAAATGCAACTTAAGTAATTAATGATATTTTTTATTGCAAAATTTCAATTTGATTTAAATGGTTATGTTTGTTGTCAAATATGACATTTTGCATTGTTTATTTTGATATTTTTATGGTTATGTTTTTCGTTAACAATAGCCAGGACCGGCTTAAAATTTAATTAAACTTTGCCCATAACTTTTTTATTTTTGAGTTTTGATAAAAAAGTTACTTAAAATATTTATTTGTCTAGCTGATTTCTACACACTGTTAAAAGGAACGCGTCAACTTAAAACTCACCCTGTATATAAAGCGAGAAAAGAAAACAAAAAGAAAATGTTTTTCTATGAGAGTGAAATTTGGGGATGGCAACCCAATATTTATAGATATATTATTAAAAATAATCTCAAGTGCAACCAAAGGGAAACCACTGATTTTTTTAAATTAAAAATCGCCTACGAATTAACGGATAAGGATAACAATCACAAGGGTAGTCATGCGCAACACAGACCACCAAAACAAATGGACGGATTTGTTTACGTTTAAAAAGCGAGTAAAGCATGGTTTCAAATTCTAAACACCGTCGAAAGAAACACGGCTTCCAACGTTGTCAGAAGTATAGATTACACGCCTTTTTGGACGTTCATCATAACTAGGGATGGGATTTTAGTTATTTTACCTTTTTTCAACCGATGTAATTATTTGAAAACCAATAATACCAAAATGTATTTTAAAAGATTTTCTTTTATATGAACCTAACTTGTTTTCACCTTTTTTACCTTTTTTGGAGGTTTTTGCTTTAAAATACCTTTTTATACTGTTGTTACCTATTTTTTTAACTTGTTTTCACCTTTTTTACCTTTTTTGGAGGTTTTTGCTTTAAACTACATTTTTATACTTTTGTTACATATTTTTTAATTTGTCAGTTTATTTTCACCTATTTAAATTCTAAAAATTCTAAAACTTTGAGTTGCACGCTCTGGATAAAATATAGTTTTAGAATTTTTTCTTATGGTCACAGACTGTAACAGTAAATTTTTCTTATGTTCACAGACTGTAACAGTAACTTTTACAGTTACCTTCTTTGTAGCGAGCTTATGTTCTGTCATAGAACTTCTGTGCAGTGAGTGTCACTCAGTGAAACACAGTTCATTGCATATAAATAGTTTATTGTGAGTATGTTCTGTGTTTGAATATGCGGCTAAACAAAATTATAAACGAAACTTGAACTTTTAATGTTTTTTTTTACCTAAATTGCTGTTTTTTTAACCTAAAATGCTTTTTTTAGTACCTTTTTAGTTACCTATTTTTTAGTTTTTAGTACCTAAATATCCCATGTTTAATCATAACATAATGAACATTAAATTAAATTCGTCCTATTTGACAGCATAGAAAAAGGTTATGTTCTGTGGGTTGACAGCTTGTTGTTTTGTGTTTTCGTTTGTGTATTTCTATCGTGTTTAAGTTAATTATGGAGTTTAAATACATTATTTTTTACTAAAAATAACAATACATGGAAATATCGTTTGTAAGTACCTACCTACTTATTATTTTTTTAATCCCAATACGTCACTGGAAGAAAACATAAAATTCTATCGCCAATTTAACGCTTAGACTGTGACCGTTTGTTGACGTCACTGGAAGAAAACATAAAATTCTATCTCAAATTTGACGCTTAGGGTGGGTTGTACCAGTCCGAGTTAACCCTAGATTATTTTTAATCCGCGATTAAGTGCTAAAATGCGTTGTACGAAGGTTAATCGAAGATTAACCGATGATTAACATAAAGATTATCGGTGAAATTTAACTCGCCAATTTTGGCAGTTTAAATGTTGATTAACCTCACTTTTCTGTTAAAGCTTAAAATTATACAATAATTATGGCTTTCGCGCAAATAGAAGAACTTGAAGAATTAACCGACGACGAAGATTTTATACAATTGGTGAACGTTGTGTTAAGGGCACCGCGTACTATACGTGAAAGAACAAATCATTTTATAAAATGGAATGAATTTGAATTTAAACAACGATTTCGAATGTCAAAAGTAGTTGTAAGATATATCATTGATAAAATATCTGATAGAATTTCGTCCAAAACTAACAGGTTTGTAACGCGATATTATGATATTTGTGTTCATATGTAATAAAGACTCTTTCATATAACAGAAATAATGCATTATCACCGGAGGATATGGTACTCTTAACTTTGCGGTTCTTGGCTACTGGGACAATTCTTACAGTGGTGGGCGAACTGAGTGGATGTGATAAGGCCACTGTATCAAGAGCTATAAATACCGTATTAACTGCCATTGCCGAGTTGCGCCCGGAGTTCATAGAAATGCCTTCGACTGAAGACGAAATTACACAGGTTCGCCAGGGCTTTTACAACATTGCGAAGTTTCCAAGGTGCATTGGAGCCATCGACTGCACGCATGTAAGAATACAATTACCCAGTGGCGAAGATGCCGAAAGATTCCGTAACCGGAAGGGTTTCTTTTCGTACAATGTACAAGCTGTTTGTGACAGTGAGCTTCTTATAAGAAATATTGTATGTCGCTGGCACGGATCCGCTCACGATTCAACCATTTTTAACAATTCTCGTCTAAAAGTAAGGCTTGAAAATGAAGAATTTGGAGAAGAAAGCCTGATCGTCGGAGACAGTGGCTATGCAGTAAAAAGTTATCTAATAACACCCCTTGCAAACCCTATAGGGCCTGCAGAAAACTTATTTAACCAGGCCCAAATACGAAGTCGAAACCCAATAGAACGATCTTTTGGGTCTTTGAAAAGAAGGTTTCTTTGTGTAGCTTTTGGTATAAGACTACATGTCAGCAAAGTGGAGCTTGTTGTCGTGGCTTGTGCTGTGTTACATAACATTGCAGTTTCATTTAATGATGCTCAACCTAGATTGGCAAGAGAAGAAGAAGCTGTTAATTTAACAATGCATGTCAACGAATATGCAGGAGAAAGAAGAAATGGAAATGAAAACAACCTAACAAGAAACCTTTTGATTACTGGCCACTTTGCACGGTTATTGTAATTTTTTTCAATAAAAATGGTAACTTATACAATATAAATTGATCATAAAGGTGTAGTGAATATGGGAAGTTTATTAATAAACCACAACAACAATAAAATATAACATACTTTAAAAACAAAAAACCTAACTAAAATTATCAAAAACTTTTAAAATATATAAACTATTATTTGGAAATAATATTTGACATGATTGGTAAACTTTTTCTATTGTTTTTTCTTAATCAGGATCTCCATTTCTATTTTATGCTTCTCTCTTTTCATTTTCATCGTTTCCTCAAACTCAAGCTCTTGTTGTCTCAAATGTGCCTCATGTTTTTCTCTTAAAAAATTGATTTTTAATTCATGCTCTTCAAGATAGCATTTTTTTTGGACATCAGCAAGTTCTTTTTTCGAATTCGCCCATTTACTTAATTTATCTTTTAAAGTCTGTTGGTTGCATGATCCTTTCTGCTGTAAAGGTTTGGAAATCGGAGTTTTCAGCTTTGCTGGGGTATATGTTTGCCAGTTTCCAACATCCTCGTTATTTGTGGCAGTTGACGATGTAGACGCGGTTGGAGGTGACGAAGCACGCAGTGTTCCGTCATTTTCTACTACTGCAACAACCACTATCTCACTATCATTATTATACGTTGGTAACAG